GAACCCCCTATCCCCCCCAGCCCCAAAAGTGCACTCAGTTGTCCTCGCTATCTAGGATGCTTATACTACTGACGTCACAAAAATGCTTTATTTTAATACCTGATTAAACTATTATGTCAAGTTGACTGCAATTTCAAACAAGGATTACATATTGAAATTAAAATCTAGCTCAAGATAAAATGTATATTTTTAAGGCATTTTAAGATTTCGGACAGCCTTATCATAACTGCGATTACTAGCAGACATTTCAAGGAGACGTCTCAATTGCAAATTCATGACCTCCAGTATTCTCAGTCCTTCGATTTTAGATTTGTTAAAGTAAAAAATTGACATTTTTTGAGTATTCATGCATGGCTTATATTAATTCTTAGTAAATCAACAGAAAATTTTACTCTTACCAAAATTTCATGAAAAGAAATAATCAGTATAAGATGATATCCTTCATTGTGAGTAGTAAGCTTTTCCTGCAAATATCGTAAAATTTAAAGCAATATGAGCTGCATGTTTGACATCGGAAAATTTTATTGCAAAATTGTAATTAACTAATTTAATGACAGAAAAATAAATCATTTATAAACTTCTGTTGTTCATATTTGCGATGGAAATTTTTTTATTAGCTTTGATTGAAGCAAAATTGAATTATTGTCGTCCTGTACAATAATGATTTCATATATAAAACTGTATATTCGGTTGAAAAGAAATATTTCTTCAGAAACATTTTAAACTTTATTTTGGGCTTATTGGTCATAAGGGTTTAAATTACGTACAAATTAATCATAAAAGCACATTTTACCAGCAAAATAAAATTGTCAAAGATACAGCTCATATTGCTTTTATTTACATGTCATAACCATCTTTAACCAAGTTCATAATTTGGTAGTCACTTTTCATGTTTATGAGAGGTATACATCCAAATTTTGGTGTTGGTTAAAGGTGGTTATGACATGCGTAGGAGTTATCTAACACAGCCACCCTCCTGAGTTTTCCCATTACTCCAATGCTAGTACGGACCGATGGTACCTTACTTTGTGACCCTATATCATAACAAATATTATTATACCTCATTATAAATATTCTACACAACACCTTATCTGATTGGTTCTAGGTTATCACGTGATAAGGCCGTAAAACCTTATATTTCCCGGCTGTCAGCACGCTTTTCGTCATATTCCACCTCTTAGGAACACCCAGTGTATCTTCCCGCAATATTGTTCTCGTTTGTTGAACATGTTGAACGAAAACTCCAGAGAGTAGTAGACGTCACAATAGCCTGGTTTACGTCACAAATTTGCTAATTAGAAATGTGTCAAAAGGTTTCAGGAACTTTGACGTTAAAGATGAAAGTGAATTGGAGAGCGGTGCCGAATTTGAAAGTTTATGATTATTTCAATGCATTTATTAAACTGATTTAGAATACATGTAACTAATTAAATCAATATATTAAAAAAATATTTTTTTATCTTTTATTACACAGTTCCCAACAAAAAATTATTAATTGTAAGAAATTGAATTATTTTTTTTCTTTTTTCTTTTGTTTTATTTTACATTACATTATTGAAAATTGTACTCAATCTGGCAGACGAAAAAAATGTGTTATTACATTTTGCGTTTCTGCTTTTTGCTTAATCTCGACGCAAAATGTAACAACGCAAATATTATAATCCAAAAATCGTGTTATTACATTTTGCGTTATTACATTTTGCGTTGATCCCGACGCAAATGTAATAACGCGAAATGTAATAATTCTCCAAAATGTGTTGTTACATTTTGCGTTATTACATTCTGCGTTGATTTCGACGCAAAATGTAATAACGCAAAATGTAATAATCCAGGTTTATTACATTTCGCGTTGTTATTACATTTCGCGTTGTAACAAAGCGACTACGGATCTTCAGTATGGAGCGCATTATGCGCAAAAAATATTTTGTCAAGTACAATGCATATCAAGTAATTTAAACTGCTATTTTAACACCCTGAATGGGATATCGTCAATTATCCCTTAGGGTTTTTTTTAATATGAACTATATATAACATATGTAGATGAAACTTACATACAATACATCTTGCCTTCTTAGAAATATATAGTTGGGCTAATAAAATAAAATAAAATGGGTTTAGGAATTCCAGGCCCCTAAAAACTATTCCAGTTTGAGGGCACAACCAAGCATTTCGATGAACACCATTAAGAAAAATTAATTCAGGTTTTTTTTAAAGTGGGTGGGGGGATAGAACAGTTAGAAACATTACCTTATTTAACTTTACTGCCAAACTCCAAATTTCACTTTCGAATTAGCCCGAGCCAATGCTGATTACCTACTTGCAAGAATTTTTATATTATTTTCAAGGGGTCAGAAATACTGTGGTTCATATGTAAGGAATATATCTATATTATTTAGTAGTATTTTGGTTTTGGCATTCGGTATTTTGTGCAGATTTATACATGATAATCTGTGGAATACTTTTTTTGTTTTGAACCATTAAGAAATGCAGAATCGAATGTATCTTATAACCATTTTGATTGATCAAATTATATAATTTGTTTGTATAAGTTATTTCATTTTGGCACAACATGGTTTCCACACTTCTTTATCCATAGTCGTTGATAGCTGTTCACCCGACTGAAAATGTCCAGTGAAAAGACAATTGCACGTGATTATGCCTCGGTACAAAAAGCAACCAACTCTGGGGTACGCTCACATATTGGCAATCCCTAGCTCATGTGTTTGTAGAAAAACGTAGTAGACCATCATGCTTTCGGTTCATTCACGAGATTGCATGGACCATTGTTTGCTGTGAACATGCGAGACCACGCCCAGCAGGCACACAACATTGAATAAACTTTGAATCAACGTTGTTTTTCTATGTTGATTCAACGTTGATTTTATGTTAGATTTTGAAAATTTGTATCAACGTTGAAGTCTTAACATTGAATCAACATTGATAATCAACGTTGAATATATGTTGAAAAACAGTTGATTCAACATCTATTCAATTATTTATTTTGATTAAAGGGGAAAGGGGGGGTCATATAGTAATAATAAACTTACTTAAAATTTTAACCGTTTTATTGCACGGTTGCTATGATGCCTTCTTAATTGTTGGAGGGATAGCGACCCTCTGATAAGACATGATAACTTTCAAAATGCAAAATTGTAATACTACTCATAGTTTTCTTATTCAGTTTCCTGAGACCCCTGAGTAGTCAATTTTATGAGATCAAACATATGATGGAAAAATTACTTTCTATTTCGTTTGCATATTTCTTTGTAATTTTTTTTATTATATTTAACAATAAAACATTTAAATCCAACATCAAATGCCATATAAACTGAATAAGTTGTATCTTTTTAAGTACCATTTTAAAAATGGTTTAATATTTCAAGTACTTAATACAGTATTTTAATTAGAGTGACTTTTTTTTCACATGAAGAAATTTTTAGAAAAAAGATAACTCCTCATCACAGATATATTTTTTTTTTCTCACAACCACGTATATCACTGTGATTTTCTGACTCCATGATGTTTTCCATCATGATTTAAATAGATATAATAGTAAGTATTATTTTCATATGCACCTCATATATTATATTTAATGCTGTGGTAATAAATCGTTACTCTTTCTATTTTCTGTGTTCAATTTGTTCATTTCATGATCTACACATAAATCATTTCTGAAAAAAATAAGCAGCACTTTATACTTTAAACTATTTTCCATGTGATTCTAATGTTATTGTTTTTGAAAATCAATATTACAAATTTAAAACTTTCTAAAGTAAATATTTACCATCCTTGTTAATTATAATAGTTAGCAATGATACCGTAAATCTCGAAATTTTTGCGTCGATTTTATTTTGCGAATCTGGGTCAAAATGCTGTTGATTAATTTTTACGTTTCAAAATTTTGTGAATGACCACAGCTTTGTTTACATTTTCTTACTGTTGAATTATTTTTACAAAAAATATTTTTGCGAATGCAATGAACTCGCAAATTTGTTAAAAATTTATCTACAGCAAAAATTTCCAGATTTACGGTATACGGTAGTGCGACTTTGTCAAATCCGACCTCGTTATGATCCGACAGTGTTATAGTCCGACACTATCATAGTCCAAATTATCTATCAGCGAAAAATAGGACTGGCCCGCTCAGCGAAGATCCGACGTTGAATCAATGTTGGCAATTCAACTCAATTTAAATTCAATGTTATTTCAACATTAAATTATCAACGTTGAAAAGTCAACGTTGAATCAATGTTGTATCTAGATTTATCAACGTCTAAACCTAACTTCAACTAATATTCAACGTTTAAACTACGTTGTGTGCCTGCTGGGTAGTACGTGATGATGAATATTTCAATGAGGCGGTTTTTTATCCGACACGGAGAGAAAATGATTTTTACCAAATAATATTTCATAACTTTTAAAAGTGATGGAGTGGAATTGTCTTATTTGCAGAAAGTATATACATGTAACTTATAAAACTTGATGAAACACCACATATATTTATTTCTTTTAAAATAAAACACTAATACGGCATATATATCTTTTAGATGACTTTCAAAATACATAACGCTGCCATTAATTAGGACATTCACCCCTTATATCTGCAATCAGGATTACTTACATTGATAGACGTAATAAGACTTGATAGGTTGGTACTAAGGGTTAATATGATTATATATCTGAGAGGACTTAAGATGTCCGGAATGGAGGAACATATGGTTACTGAAATAAACTCACTCATCCGAGACCAGGCTCGTATAAGTGGTAATATTACACTAAACTTATTAGAACTAGTAAATATTACACTTGTTTAGAATATAATCAAAGAATTAGAAAAATTGAATTTTTTTTACATTTTGAAAACAATCATCATCATTATATTTTGACGATTTAAAAAAATTCACAAAAATAATGAATGAATTAGATAGTAACAATCAGGTGATCATTAATTTAATGATGAAGTACATGCATACATAATTTCACCATATGAAAAACCTAACTTGACTTCCTTCACTACTCCTTTTGGACTATACTGCTTTCAGCAATTACATCTCGGAAAAATGAGAACTTCCGAAATATTTCAGCGTCGAGTGTCAGATATATTAACATATATCAATTGTATACGTGTCTTTTGAATGACACTCTTATATGCATGTTTCAGATGTCAGTATTTTGGCGGGTATTTCATCTTTACACGGGATTTCAAAACTCGGTTGTGCTGCCGATTCTATTTTCTTAAGATACTCAAACCATTGCTCGTCATTAACTTCAAGGACTGGTTCAATTTCTGATGCTTCCTTAGCACCTTTTACTAGTGATCCTATGAATGTTTTGCGTTTTATCCAGCCAAGCAGATCTTTCCTCGATGAAAACCTTAGTAATTCGGAGAAATAAAGCTTTCCAAACGTTATGAGTGACATTCTTTTTATAATTCCATGCTGTAACACATAGACTGATGAGTTCTCTTTCACTAAAAATTCTTCTGGTAGTAAAAGCGATTTTAGATCAATATTGTTGAGACCACATGCTTTATATATTTCCCTCAGCTTTTGATCCGATTTGTTTATATCCATTTTCATGTCATTAAAGCTCATATACACCAGTAAAAGAAATTGTTCTTTCTTGTTTGAATCAAGACACATTTTTTCTAAATGTGAGGCTAAATAACGTAGCGGTCGATTAAAGAATACAACACCATGTTTCTGAAACTCGCTACATTTAAAAAATAGTGTGCAGATCTCTGGGAATCCAACATGAAGATTTTTATTAAATCTCGAGGCAACTTTTTCAACGGTAGAGAAAGGCGTTTCTGGTTTGTAAGCTTTGAAAATTGTGTGAAGGATCTGAATCCGTTCTCCTTTTGATATATTCCCCCAATTCAAACCAAAAGATTGTAGCTCATTCTTTGAAGAGAAACAATTTTTGACTTTCTTTTCATTTTTTTCCCAAGCTTCATCAGTCAAAGTCATAATCAAAAATGTTTCATTTTTATTTGTTTTCTGAGTTTGTTTGCACAAAGAGATTATCTTTTTAAGAATATCACTTCTTTCCACGTCAGGAACGTCCTCGCTTAGTAACGGTTCCTCTATGATAACAGAGTCCTGACATGTACTAACATCAAAATTCAATATGTCCTCTATTACAACCGGTTCCCTTCCAGTAAAGGACATATAAACTTGTTTAGCTGTTGTCGATTTCCCCGAACCCCATTTTCCTATGAAACATAGAATTTTCCCATCGTTTTTGAGAAATTTACATGCCTCATGGAAAGTAGATGTTTTGTAGAATGGTGTCTCTAGACAAAAATGATAATTAATAGAATTTAATTATTTGTACAATGTAAACTTTTTCTTCATTGAATTGCATAATGCATATTATACTTTTTGTTTACTTAAAACATCAAATTATACCTTTGGATAATAAAGAAATCTGTTCATCTTTTCCTTTAGAAATATCGTCTAAAATGAAAATTGTAGATTATTGTAATCAAACGTTCATAGATCGAATAAATCTGTTTTGTTCAATGTCCTAACATTAACTCTAGAAATTAAAATCCTCTAGTAGGAGAAACATAACTGTCAAAAAATAAAATAAAGAAGGAAACTTTGTTCAAAGTCCGTAAAATATTAGAAATACAAATGAAATGGCGGAACAATTAGTATGAAAAATGTCTCGTAGCATTTACCTAAATGATAGATTTTATTTGCTGGTAAGGTCTTTGCATCGATAAAAGACCTTGCAAAATTAAGACTTTAAAAGCGACAGTTTGTATTCTTTATTCATCAGCTTGTTGGTCAGTAAATTGCCCCTTTTTAGAAATCAATCGTACATAGAGCGTATAAAATGAAATTGAAAATATAAACTCCGTAAGCAGGTGATACGGAAATTTTGCTATATAAATAATAAGGGAAGCTGGCGCTTGAAAATCAAGTCATAACGTTTGTTGTTAGGTAACCATTAAAGTCTTTCTTTTTCAAATAAGATATTCAAATATGAAACAGATGTGTCAAATTCTATGATAACCTTAATCCAAAGCTCTCTGGGATATATCGAGTCCACCTTTTGAATGGAACTATCTATTGTTTATTGAAAATACGTCGTCATTATATCTTAATGTAGGTTTGAGGAATAAAAGTGTTTTCGTCTTCTCTGTATAAGTTTTTAAATACATTTTGCTTTATATGAATACAAAAGTCGGTCTGCTTTTATACAGGGCGCTATTGGTATCAATGGGAATTGTGACAGTTTGAGTATGTTATTTGTGAATGTTATGTCAAAAGAAAAAGGCATTTTTCTATCTCGAGAAACACATTACAATTTTTTAATATAATTAATCAAATTTGTTCTCACGTGATCTTCTCTTTCTGTAACACACGACAACTACTACACTGAAGACAAGAAGGAGGACAAGTACTCCGACTGACACGCCTATATATAGCCACGGTAGAGATGAGGGGTCCTCATCATACACAGATAGATTTCTAAAAGAAAAAAGATTGAACAGCATAATTTTGTTAAAAAAATGTTTCATTCAAATCAACTAAAAGGCTAAAGTAATTATATTCTAAAAGATAGTTTCCTTAGAATCAATTTAAACAAGACCGTATATGTGTACGTAACACTGTTACTCTGATAAAATGTGTTTATTTAGGCGCCCCTTAACTTTCGATATTGCAAAATTATTTCTGTTTCTGTTTATATGGCTGTTTATGAGTAATCAAAGAGCAATAACATAAGAGAGAACCTTGGAATTTTTTTTTCAACTAAAATTAATAAAATCTTATTTTTGATTCATTGAAATGTTTCCTTCTTTGTTTATTCAAGAATGAGATATGATTTACTAGACAGAACATTCATTTGTATAAAATTTTGATACACTGTTTTAATAACCTGAACAAAATTCAATCTTCTAATATTTCTCTGACGTTTTATCATATCAGTTGATTTCATTTGTAGTCGATGTATCTCAGTGAACAACATAAAGACACCACAGAGTCTGGCACGTGAGGAAGTTTTTTTTTTCTTTCAATGTCAAAAGTAAAATAAAAGCAAAATATGTGACTCAACTTTGAGCTTAAAAAAAATTATTTAAAATTTCATTCATACAAATGATATGATAATAATAATCTAGTAGATGATTAATGCATTGTCTTGTTCTGAACTTACTTGTCATGATACGTCTTATTTAAACAAACGGGATCTGAAACAAAGAAAAATAAAAACGCGTAAAAAAATTGCTTATAAGCCTACAAGTTCCGTATTTTCAACATAATGTGAAAGCTTTCCTAAATATGTTTAACTTGATTAAACAAGTTTGTATTTAAAGCATACCAGTTAGAAGTTTTACATTTAAAACATTTTAATGCATACATAAATTGCACCTGATCCAACTTCTGATTTTTTGTAGGTCCGTGTTTGCTCTACTCCAATTTCGTACTGCTTAAAGAACTTTTGAGCTTAAATACTGTTTGTGATCTTCAAATATTTTATTAAAAAAATACAAACGATGCAATACATTAAATACTTTTTTAAAAAGGTGAATGTATCTTCCTAAAATTTACTGTATGTCCTTGATGAATTGTCTAAATCATTAGCAATAAGATGTGTTTGTGAAACACTGATACCCCCGTATGGCAACATAGTAAAGGTTAAGATTTCTCAACTGCAGATCAAATATGTTGGTACTTAAAGTAAGGCCTTTTCACAAGAAATACAAATGTGAAATATAAAACCCTAGCACCTGTTCAAGGGTTATGACCAAGGTTAACATTTTTTAAGGTAGGACAAACTTCAGAGTCAAGGTCAAAGGGTCAAGGTTGTTGATTTCTAAAAAAAAAAGCCTTGTCTCAAAGATTACATATGAAAGTATGAAAGCATCGGCCCTTACAAGGGCATCGGCTCTTATCAAAAGATATGGCTAAGTTTGTAAAAACTAGGTCAAACTCCAAGGTCAAGGTCAAAGGGTCAAGTTTCTTGATATTCAATGAAAGATCTTGTCGCAAGATTTACATATGTGAAATATAAAAGCTCTAGTCCCTACTGTTCTAAAGTAATGGCCAAGGTTAAAGTTTGTAGAAAGTACAAACAAGATCAAGGTCAAAGGGTCAAAGTTGTTGATATTCAATGAAAAGACTTCTCACAAGGAATACATATTTGAAGTATGAAAGCCCTAGCCCTTACCGTTCAAAAGTTATGACCAAGGTTAACGTTTTTTCATGAGTACGGAAATCTTCTAGGTCAAGGTCAAAAGGTCAAAATTGTTGGTTTCAAATGAAAGCCAAAAAGAATTGATTTTTGAAAAACGAAATTCTTAGTATCTACGATTTAAAAATTCGGGCCAAAGTAAAAGTTTAGATTTTTTGTGTAAAGCGGGTCAAACTCCAAGGTAAAGGTCAAAGGGTTAAAGTTCTTGATATCAAATTAAAGATCTTGTCACAAGAATTTAATAAGTAAAGTATGAAATCCCTAGTGCTAATTCTAACTCAAAAATTATAATCAAGATTGTATTTTGAAAGAAAGTCAAACTCCAAGGTCAAAGGGTCAAGGTTCTTTTTTTAATAAAGGGTCTTTTCACAAGGTTTACATTTGTGAAGAATGAAAGACCTAACACTTACTGTTCAAAAGTTATTACCAAGGTAAAAGTTTTTTCTATAAGTACAGAAATCTCTAAGGTCAAGGCCAAAAGGTCAAGTTTGTTGGTATCCAATGAAAGGTTTTTGCACACACACAAAAAATATCAAGTATAAATATCCTGGTATCTACTGTTCAAAAGATATGGCCAAAGTAAAAGTTCAAAATCTTTGAGTAAAAGTGGGTCAATCTCAAAGCTCAAGGTCAAAAGGTCAAATTTGGTGGTACCTAAAGAAAGGTCTTGTCACATGGAATACACATGTGAAATATGAATGTAATAGCTCCATAAATCAAAAATTATAGGAAAGGTTAACGTTTCTGTGGACAAACAGACAGACAGAGAGACAGACAGATAGACAGAGAAACAGCTAGAAGAGAAACAGACAGACAGACGGTCGGACACGAAAAAAAAAACTATATACCCCGAAACTTCGTTAACGGGGGTAAAAAATGTCAAATTGAAGAAACGTGGTCAGATATCTAAAGAACAGAATATATATTGTACATTGTAAATTTTTTTTACTACAAATAAAACCTCAAATGCCCCCGAGACCCAGAAAAGTAAAATGTGTGACCCAAAGTCAACACAACACGCATAAAAATTACTAGTATTTCAATGTAATAGGTAAACATAACGAACAGTGTAAAACTAAAAAAAATCAATAAACAATACAAAACTTTAAAGAGGCAAAACCACGGACCTTTGGTAATTCCAGAGGTGGGATCAGATGCTTGGAACGAGTAGGCATCATACATATATGTTGTTGACCGGTCACAACCGTTTTAAACCCTATGAATGGATCGAGGATACATTGCAAAGACAAATCTAGTATCTAAACAAAGGCCTAAATTTAGTTTGAAACAACTCAGCCAAAAATACCGATCCAATGTTATATTGAGTGACATGGTCATTATAACAACAACGACCAAGGAATTTACTCAAAGAAGGATATGGAGATAACGAACAGTATTTAAGGAATGAAGCTTATTTCAACTTATGTTATCCAATATAACATAACTTGGGGCAGTTTACGCTTTATAAACCGCGAAGCGGTTTATAAAAAAGCGTAAACTGTCCCAAGTTTTGTTATATCGGATAACATAAGTTGAAATAAGCTTCATTCCTTATAATTTAATTTCAATGTACAGACAATGAGACAATATTTCCATTTTTTCCTTCGGAAAAAGGCTTCAAATATAGCATATTTTAAAAGTTAACGTCAAGCGGATTAATACGTTTTTGACGTAATTCATTGTGACGTAGGCAAGTTATGTTATACAAAATGGAAAAAATCGTTTAACCAATCAAATGACGAGCTACAACTGAAATTAAATTATTCTTCTTTAAAACGACGTTCTTAAAATTCCTGTAACATCAAATAATCAGTGACTAATTGATCGTTCTCAGAGTAATCTCTTGAAAAGCAAATAATTTCGGAGATATGGCACTATAAACAGTTGATGGTGAAATATAACTACATTAATTAATTTTGGTTGTAACGCGTCATTTGATTGAATAAAAATTAATCTAAATTGAATGAAAAATTAATCTAATTTAACTGGTTTGTCTGCGTCACAATGACTTACGTCAAAACGTATCAATTTGCTTGATATTACGTTTAAAATATGATCTATATGAAGGTTTTCTAAGGAAGAAATAGTCTTGTTTTATATACTTAAATACTTTGCGGTTTATAAAGCATAAACTGCTCAAACCCAAGTTATACAGCATAATTTGGGTTGCTATTTAATTCATCTCTTAAAGAAATAAGTTAACAAAGGAAAGAATAAGAAAAGCTCGTTTGTCATACGATTTAAGTGTATTTCAAAATACTTAAAGCTGTCCAGAATTAGGACATTCATTCCTTACTTCCGCAATCATGATTACTTACATTGATAGACGTCATAAGACTGAAAAGGTCCATTGGGGCATCTAACTGACCAGTCACAGGGGACGGTGTCCACCGTGTTAGCGTCATTGTTGTACTCAGGACAATAACCTGTACAAAGAAAACTGATCTGTACATAACGGGAAACACGCTGCCAAAAGATACTTTAACTATGATAAAGCATTATGATAGAAACAAAGATGATCATCTAGGTATACGTAGATAAACACAAACAATAATTTCCTTTTAAAAGGCTTTTGGGTTTAAATTGATTGACAGGATATGTATTTCCTTTGTGGATGCATTGAGGGGGTATAATGATGTAAAACTATCTTATGACATTAACTCCTTAACAATGATCTTAAAATATATTTATAAATAAAACAATGACAATAGCAGGGTTAGTGAAAGTAATTTAACAGTGTCAAGTGAACAGAATACTGACACAGTGAATCGATTTACTGCAGCAACTGTTTTTACATGATAATGGCGCTATTATGTCATTCAAGCATAATGTTGTTATATTTTATGTGTCCGATAAATGCGTTCAACCTTAATTGGTATCATCAATCCATGACATAGTCAAAATTGTTTTGGTAGATTACTTATACATATTCAAACAGTTATTAAAGTTGTAATATTCAATTTAATTCATTGTGTTGCTTAACGTTTGACAAATTACGGAGATAGATATTGATTTCTATTTTGTCTGAATTTTAGATGGAATAGAAAAAGTAATCAAAAACACAGTTTTACCAAACACTTATGGGAAAAACGAGGTTGTAACGATTTATACCCGGACTGTATCTTATACTGCCATAACATTTTTCATACATGTTGGTGCTTTATATAGATCTTATATTTATATAGCTTTAAAAATCTATGAAAAAACATACCTCCTTGAACCCAGACAGACTGTATACATATCTCCCCGGACCTATTCCTCTCGTCAACAAGACAGTGGTAGACATTGGTACTACTAGAACAATTAAACAGATTCCTTTCTTCATTCCATCTGGTTACATTAAATGGACATAAGGTATTCCTTATTTTGAACATGGCTGACTGTCATTGAACAGGGCATATTGTAAAATATGGATGATCAGTGTTAATTTAGATTGGGCTTGTGAAACCGCACGTGACGTTTGGTGCATATAGACTCTGACGTCATATGATGTAGTATGTATGTTGCATTACCAAACCAAAGCATGAACAGGGATTGTTTTAATTACGAAACTTTATAGCGACTATTTGTCTGAAATATATCAATTTAAACAAGGCAACTTTAATAATTTCTTGAACTTTTGTTGCTTTTTTAAATTTAACAAGGGAAGCATTGTGGATCCAGAAGTAACTGTAGAAAAAATCGTTTGGATCAATGTGTAGTCCAAATTTCATCTTTGCCCAGGCGTTACTTTAAGAGCTCGCAGTGACTGCGCTCGCTATTAACATTTTTTTAAATACTTGTAGATCGGTTGCAGATTGAAGATATCATACAACATGTACAAGGGTTGTCCGTAAAAATGGTGGACAAAGCGTTTTTCTTGGAAACTACTCAATTTTATTCCCCTTTTTCTGACCCAATTTTGTAAACTGTATTTTACTGCTTTTGTCATTTACTTTAATAAATGGCATATTTCACTTCTAAATGATGTTATTTAAGGAATGTTTTGAAGTTTTGTGTGAGTTATTGGTGTGTGAATCACACAGACTTGTCATGTAGGCATATGCTTCATGAAAATATGCCTAGGTGCAAGTTTGTGTGATTCACAAACCAATAATTCACACTAAGCTTAAAAACATTCCTTATATTTACATCTTTGGAAGAACGAAAAACATACTCAACATTTAAGGAATGAAGCTTATTTCAACTTATATTATACGATATAACATAACTTGGGGCAGTTTACGCTTCGCGGTTTATAAAAAAGCGTAAACTGTCCCAAGTTTTGTTATATCGTATAATATAAGTTGAAATAAGCCTCATTCCTTATAATTTAACTGCAGTACAGACAATGAGACAATTTTCCCTTAGAAAAATGCTTCACACTGATTAAATTTTAAAAGTAACGTCAAGCAGAGTAATACGTTTTTTGACGTAACTCAATGTGACGTAGGCAAGTTATGTTATACAAAATGGATGAAATCTTTTATCCAATCAAATGACGTGTAACAAGTATAAAATTAAATTATTTGAATTTCTCGCTGATATGGCGCACCGGAGAGTGGTGCAGTTTGATCTAGATGTATTAATTTTACCCCAAGAGACTTTCAAAACATAAAGAAAAAGATATAAATGTATTATCCGATCTTATATGGACAAACAGATAGGGTAATAGCAAAAGACGCTGTCACTGTAGAACATTGATATAAGATTGCCTAATTTGTTGCATGATATTGAAAATACTGTATACAGGGAAAATTTCGGCCCCGTTTTATTTTTGCCCAATTCGCCCTAATCACCTCTGGGCGAATTTAAAAGGGGGCTAATTCAGATAATACAGTATAAATTGTTTAAGAGAATTGTAACTGGGCGAATTTTAAACGGGGCAAAATTGTTGGTAAGGTCAAAAGGGCGAAAATAACATGGGACGAAAATAACCTAGCATACAGTACTTTCCATAACTTATTAATAAATCTTCAGATGGTTCCATGTGTGTGCATGATTTGTTTCCTGACTGCTTATGAACTCCGAGGCATAAAGGGAAATACAAGTATGTGCGTAAATGAGACTCGTAAATTCAAGTGGGACTTATCCAGCTGTTTTAAGAAAAGAGGAAACGCAACGCTGCATTTAATATTTTGGCGATGCAATACATAACATAAAATCTAATAATTTTTTATCTATGCATATATCTATTTAAAATTTGCTATGTTTATTCGTGAAAAATGTACTGAAGTGTAATAAAAAGTTTAGAACCCATTGATTATTAATATAGACAACTTGTCCATGATTTAACCGGACACTCCTCATAGCTACTTTCATAGGTAAAGCCCATCTACTATAAATTTTACCCCAAATGCTTAAATTCGATTAATTTTCATCAACAATAAGAACTTTAAGAAACATTAAATGAAAAGAAAAGTGGATTTAATGTGGCTTAACTTATTATTTTACTAAGATAAATATGGTCTTAATTGTTATTTACATGATTCTTTAATTTTATTAACACTATGATGTCACGAGCATTTTAAGAAAATATTACTCAAGTATCTTGGGTCTCCGTTTTGGGTTAATTTTTAAAAATGTATCTCGATTTTATGTACCTTGAAAGTTAAAAGGTCTTTGATTATTGAAAAATATTTACGAATAAAAAAAGCATTGCTAGTTTTCTTTTAAGAAATGAGAGTGTTTAAAATTCGTAAAATATGCCAACTGCCGAAAATACCCGACATACGGTAAGTCAGTTATAATAGACTAAAGATTTTGTCGAGTCAACCTCTATAACAGCATTGAAAAAAAATCACAATATATAAGTATTTACGTATGGAAAAAATAACGAAAGCTATTGCAATTAAAAATTAGAACAAATATATTTATATATACATGTATACAGTGTATTTTTATATTAACAGTTGGTTCTTAATTTGATGGATATGCAGAATTTATTATCAATTCGATCTTTCTCATGAAAATATCAAATCTTAAGATTGAGATTTTATTTTATGTTCAGCTAAAAAGTAAATGCCTTTTTGTTGCTTACCTAGATGGAAGAGTTGTTGACTATTAAACTTACAAATTCGATACAAAGCAATTTAAAAACTCCTTACACCAAAATAAATGCATCCTTTGCGGTCACTGATGGTTCCTGAAGAAATATACGAATGCATCAATCAAAATATCTAATCCATCCTTGCTTAAATCTTTCGTGTTATTATAATTATGTCTGAAGTTGAAACATATTCTCCTTCTATGTTAGGCTACAAAACAAATGTAACGAGATGCTCTTTAAAACAAGAAAGATGGAATTGCATATAAATCAGGTGTTAAGCAAGTTAATCAAAAACTTTTACCACCATTGTATGACATGAGGTCGAAGATAATATCATTATGTACACATTGATAATGTATTTAAACAGGAAAGTAGTAAGCCAAATTTATACATGTATTTATATAGTTCCTTTACTCTAATATACAGTATCATTTATCGAATCGCCTACGTTATCTCATATGACAATACTTGATACCACCTGAGTTACCTGGAAGTATTTTTACTCTTATCATTTTAGTTGTTCAACCTCTTGAGATATCATTATGTGTAAGAAAAAGGTTTAATTTTAGGACTTTACTGGACGTTTCTGTTCACCTGAGAGTGCAAAACAGAGCTTTGACCTCGAATTTCAAGACTTGGCCCCTACTGAATGTAAACATGAACAATTTATACTTTAGATGGTATAATTTACTGTGTTTATTTTTTATTTCTATTGAAAATGAAAAGAGAGAAAAGAGGAACTATTAGAATCTCAATTTCTTATTCAGAACAAGGTCATATGTACATTAAAAAAAAATCATAGATATAACAACCTAATTTATGCTATCATATTAAGTAAACAAATAAGTCGCATAAAGGCACTCCAATCCTAAGCCAGAAAGGATAACTCATTAATTTATAATTTAATTCAAAAGAGTCTCAAAATGAAGCTTGGAAATTAAATTTTTTTATGCAGCAATTTTCATTGCATATCTTTTAATGTTCTTAAAGGTTCTTTGTAATTCTCAAAAAGGTCTTATAGAAAGTCGAAATTTTTACCCCATATAAGAATTTTAAAGTAACATACATGTAGTTAGAGAAATTGAGGTTTATTATAATCTTAGATACAAGTGTTTATTAAAGGTACTTGGACACAGATTTGAACTTAATTTTTTCTGTATACTATCACGAATTGTATATTTAAATAGCATTTCACACAAAAATTGATTAAAAATCTTATTGCATTTAAAAGTTATTAAAACTTTTAATTTTTGGCGGGTTTGATTGACACATCCTTTCACTTTCACAAATTTTAACTCTATTCTTAATCCTTAGGAAAAGTGGCAATCTTGTTGTGTATTAATGAGAAACATAAAAACTTAAATCCAGAAAAATAATTTTATTCAGAGTAGAAATATTATAAAGCAAAACCCCTTCACAAGTATCGTCATTCCGTTGTGTACAGAGTTTAGCAAATCGAGCACACTCGTGTTATGTACACAGTTTTTTGTAAACAGGGCGAAAGCTTTGTTATTGTTTGGTGTTTTGGTTCACCGGGTGCGTTCAACGGCCAAAGTCTGCTCACCACAACTGCACGGACTGACAATATATCGTGTGTTTGTTTTGCTTTTGAACATGTCTACACTGAATTTTCTGGATTATAGTATTAATATTTTTCATTAATACACAACAAGACTGCCACTTTTCCTAAGGATTAAGAATAAAGTTAAAATTTGTGAAAGTGCAAGGACGTGTCAATCAAACCCGCCAAAAAAATTAAAATTTTAATAACTTTTATATGAAATAAGATTTTTAATTAATTTTTGTGTGAAATGCTATTAAAATATATAAGTGGTAATATTATAGAAAAAATATAAACTTCAAATCTGTGTCCAAGTACCTTTAACATGATATGAAATTCGAAGTGATTAATGGTGTTTTGCAATGATAGGAAAATCTTTATATTCTATGCATTGTAAAATGACCAAAGTAAATAAAAGAAATTAAAGTACCTTATATAGATGTATTTAAAAAATTGTGCAATTTTTTCCCTGAATACCTATGCTTTTTATTTCTAAAATGTGTCTGTTGATCAGATTTGAATTGGAAAATGCATAGTAGGTGTTTTTAGTCGCGTTTCCTGAAGATTTATGATTTACTAATTTTCCTTATATTATAATATGATTTACTTTGAAGAAGAAGTTTGGAGAAGAAGATACGTCACTTTAAGAATTCTGATACATTTTTTGTGTGCATTTTCAATTCGTCAATACCTGGTTTTCAGAACTTGAGAATTTGTACTCAGTAGAGATTTCATTTTCTTTGTTAGCATTGATTAATTATCAGATTCAAATAACGAGGGAAAATAGTAACTTCTTTCAATGGAATGCAAATTTTAAAAAATTTACCAGGTTGACCAGTTTTGAATATTTTTATATCCCGAAGAACCAAAATGATTTTGAACTACTAAATATATATTGGATTCCGAAACTTCATAAAAATCCTTACAAACAAAGATACATTGCGGGTTCCAGTAAATGTTTTACCAAACCTCATTCTTTACTTCTCACTAAGATGTTGAGAGTTGTGAAGGAAAGACTTCAAGAGTACTGTGCAACAATATATTCAAGAAGTGGTGTGAATCAGATGTGGATACTCAAAAATTCCAAAGAACTTTTGGACAATTTAAGGACGCGATTGCACGGCGTCACGTGATCACGTCATTTGGTGAATAAAAAAAGAATGTTTGCTGTAACTATTTCCGAAATAAGGAACGTCATATGTTTGCGCTCATGACAAAAGGGGTTTATTTTTCTAAAGTAGAGAAAGTATAAGATATTAAAGATTGTTACGATGCACTGAGAGTGTTGGTGAGCGTTGATCATATTTTTTATCTACTTGCATATTTCGTCTGTTTATTGTATATCTCTGAACATTGAAATCTATTTCATTAAAAATAAATTTTATTTATATATTGAGGTTGATATCTTCATTTAAAAATTAGAATTTTATTTAAAATTGTTGTTTATCATAGGATCTACATCTATATATAGATAATTTCCAATGAGAGATTCAGACGGTGTGATTTACTAGATACATGTATAAATATTGATGAACAAAGGCGATTTTGATAAACGTGTTACGGCGAGGACCACGTATGCCTAGAAGACGTATCTTTAAAAAAAATATCGCAGAGGATTTTCTTTTCTCCTATAAGATCTTTAGCATTTTCAGCAGTGACATCGACCGTGTAAACATTCAATCATCGTCGCACATTTATTGTAAACGATTGTTGTAAAATGCTTTATGCGTCGTATTGAAACACAACACACTTCTTCTGAAAGATCACCAGGGAAGATATGTACATAAATAAATAAAAGAAACATGTGAACTCATCATGCTTATGGGAATACATTTGAAAAATGTTTTTTTTTTAATCACATGGACATGAACATAGATGTTTCACTCCAGCATATATCATAAAGCGACGAAAAGTTATTTTAATCAATGATTATTTCTGAATCAAAACAGTAGATCTATAGTTTTGACGTCAATTGTGTCATTATGACGTCACAATGGAGATAGAGCTCATCCATGTACAGGAGAAAATGAAGTGTAATTTCTTAAAAAGAATCGGAAGAAAAACTATTTGTAAATGTGAATATTACTATAATTTGGCCAATAAGATAATTTATGGATGAATACATTTATTTCATAAAAAATATATAATGCAGTTACAAGTACAATGTAAAATAACCTGTTTTCATTCAATGTGTTCAAATGTCTGATCCCCCCCTCCCCCCCCCGATTCCAGGTCACAGGTCTAGAAGAAACATCGCTGAGTGTTCAAAGCATGAAGAATAAGGCCTTTGAGGACTGTGCACTGGTTTATAATACATTATTTATTTATGCTGATATAGTAACAAAATGAATGTTTTGGAGATGAAAAACTGAGTTTGAAAAAAAAAAGTTATTTTCGAGACCACTGTTGGTGATAAGTAAATCATTGTGCTTAAAATGAACATCAGCTGCCAGATTTTCAGAGAAAAAGTATTTATTTATCTATACATATGGCCTTTATTGTCTTTAAACAGATTATGCATATTTAAGGTCCAACAACAAACCATCATACATATATGAAAATCTGTGTAATCATTTAATATTCTAGGAAGGGGGGGGGGGTACTGAAATGCGTGTAGCTTCAAAATTAATCTGATTACCTTACTTCATATTTTAACCATAAGTCACTTATAATGACTAGTACAGCATATATTAGTTTTGGGAAAATTCATTGGGTAATTTTTTTGTCTAGACGTTAAAAACTGCTATTGAGGTGAAAATATTACTGCAAATTTACAATTAATACTACCCCAAAAAACAATAGCATTACTACATTTATCAATAGTTTCCGAAACAATTTTTATTTTCAATAAATATGAAGCATATTATCAAATATCTGCAGGAAAATATTTAATTTACTTCAATTTTGTTGCGTGTATGGCATTATAAAACATTCACCTCATAAATATCAAAAGATTAAAAAATGTTGGTTACCATGGCAACCATAACTTCCTTAGAAGCCTGATGACCATGCTTGATACTTTGATATAATGGTGTCATTGACATTAGGAACGTTATATGTAAAAATGAGAAAAATTCATTGGGCAGAATTTTTTCACGGACCCGTGCAATCCTTTCCTTAAAATCACAAGATTTTACCAAAATCAACAGCTTAAAAACTTACGATTTTTCAACTTTATATACAACCATTCCACACGATAAATTAAAGTCCAGGCTTTATGATATCATTGACAGCTGCTTTTTCAATAAAAATGGAACTCTTGTATTTACTTACCTGGTCATTGGTCATTTGCAAAACTATTTTTTTGAAACACATTCTGATTGCACACACAAGTACTCTGAAGTTGACATAAAAAAGATGCTTGAGTTTCTGATTGACGATATCTATGTGTATTTCGTAAGTTCTTTGGTCGATACAATGACCTTGTCAGAAAATACAATTTATCATTGAGTCAAATACTGACCAACGTTTTTCATAGTAATAGTTAGTCCATTACTGATTTGACGACGGATTTTTCCGTTATTTCCCGATCATGACAAGGAGCACTCGGCTGCTGTGACCGGTGGGCAGGGATGCTCACTCCTCCATAACATCTGATCCCACCTTTGATGATTTGGAGGTCCGTGTTTGCTCTGCTCCTATTTTGTATTGTTTTATGGACTTTGATATTGAATTTTGTTCGTTATCTCCATATCCTTCATTTAAACATTTTGTATTTTATCCCATTCATATTTTAAAACAACTGTGTTAACATTTAATGTTATACAAATAAAAAAACAAAAACAAAATGGTATATATAAAAAGAAATATACATGTATGCACATGATAGAAAACAGAAGTCCATTTGAACTATTTTGAAAAATTGACAAATTTTATCGTTTTTTAACTGTATCCTACACTGACTAAAATATGTATTCCAATAAATCCCAAATTTGTTTTTCATGTCTTCTTTCTTTATAGAGAGAGAGGGGGTAGTTCTATAATTCTATGATATCAAAAAAAGTTTGAGTAGTAAAAGGAGATGGTGTTATGTATTTTTAATTTTATTTATAATTCATATTCCTTTGCAACCGGAAAAAGAAAGTTAAGGCATTTTCACTAAAGAATTATCTGAGTCCAAACTAACAACCCTGATCCTGGGGCCATGGATATCATAATTTTAGTACACTGTATAAGGCACAACGCTTATTGTAATCATACTAACAGATTGATGTCTATGAGTAATTATATAACGAAGAAGATTTTTTAGTATAACATTTATTTTTATGGTTTTAACTTAATTCCTATGCACCCCATCCCGGGACCCTGAAATAAATGATTTGGACACCATTTGATGCTATATTCCAAAATGCATTAAAATCGATTAAGTGGTTCGCGAGGAAGCTGATGATATTTAAAAGTCATTGACCACTGATGGCCTAGATCTACTCCCCCCCCCCCCCCCCCCCTAGATTTTCGGTATTCTTTAACCATGAATTTGTACAGGGAAATAATTATAATAAGTTAAAGTTGTAAAACCAATATATTTATCGATAGAATAAAAAGATAAATGCGATACGATGCATCTTGGTAAGCTTGAAATAAAAGATACTACAGAATCTGACAGATACATGTCTGTTTCATATTTGGATATTTTAAAATTATATGAAAAGACGTAAATAGTAATCCAACAACCAAGCTTTAGGATAAATATGACGACTTTAACAGTTCAATCGTTAACTTGCCTTACTAATGCAGCAATATACCTCATAAGTAATATATACGAGGTTTATATCCCTCCGTTTATTCAATATGCCGGAGCAAGTCATACCTATGTACATTTTGCAAGTTCTGTGATCGATACAATGACCTTGTAAGCAAATACAATTTGTCATTGAGTCAAATGCTGATTGAAGTTTTTCATACTAATTGTTAGGCAATTATTCAAAGAATGAATTGTCTTCAGATTGTTTCCACTATTTCGCGACCAGGACAAGGAGCAAACAGCGAGTGTGACTGGTTGACAGGGGATGGTCACTCCTCCATGGCACCTGATCCAACCTCTGACGTTTTGTAGGTCCGTGTTTGCTCTGCTCCTATTATGTATTGTTTTATGGCTTTTGATCTTAAATACTGTTTGTTATCTCTATATAATTCATTATATAAAACAAATGATTTCATTTTTAGAAAATTATAAATATAAATATAGTGAGTTTTCTTTAAAAAAGTGGATTTTTGTGCTTTATATATTTACATGTTTTTCACTTATGATATTTATACATATAATTACCTTCATTAACTAAAGTGACAAAAATATGAATATAGAAGGCACAAAGAAATTTAGTTATTACGGATACCCAATATATATAAGAATAAATAAGGTGTAAGGGCGTATAACAGTCTAATTAATATTTTCTAAATTCGATTTGACAACACTTCACCATTTACACCACTTAATAATTCTCCGAAAAAAATACATAAAACCAGAAATAATAGTATCGTGAATGGAAAGCAAAACATATTAAACCTTTGTCCATATAAAATTTGAAACATTGTTACACACACACATCCTCAGAAACTCTCTTACAAACAGGCAATAATATTAATATTTTTAAGGCACTCAACATTTTACTCTCTGCCTATAAACATCACGAGTTCAGGAAGTTATAGATAATCATATGCCTTGTAAAGGTGAATCACGTGTCTAATTTACTACCTCGGCGTTCAAAATGAGTGTATATTTAACACTGAGCAAAGTCTGTTTCACTAAGTGGTAGTCATATTGATTAAATATGAACACCTGCCATTTATTGTATTTCAACCATGCACTTTTTGTACATGACATGTGTATCAACTGCTATCTTACTTTCGCTATAAACTGGTAGCTTAATTTTTTTTGTAAAATTTCCAAATTGATGACAAAAAATGAATATGTTAAAACGTATAAAGACTCATATCATACTTTCGCTTCTATTCACGTTTTGGAAATTTTTCAAATTGATAACCTTAAAGGCATGTGTGCAAAAACGTAATTATTTGAATTTAAAAATAATGATTTAAAGCCTCGCGTACAATCAGTCTGAGCTAGCACAGTTTTAAAAACATAAGACAAACATCTGGTTCACTATCATAAAATTAATAGATAAACAGGGACTCTACGAAAATTACACAGATCAATACTCAATTAGGTAAAACAAATTCAATTGATTGACAGAAAAAGTAAGAGCTGTTATTAATGAGAATACATGTTTCAAGGCCATAAACAGATAACTAATTTAAGTCAAATGTTTCATATTGAAAAGCGTTACTTTTTTGTCAAAGTAAGCGATAAGACATTTGAATTTAGAATGCTTAAATAATTTTTTTACTAATTGAATGTGAAGGTTGAATAACTAGTACGGAATTTATCTAGCTATATACCGAAATGTTCAAAGTATGTTAAGGTAAATTGTATTGTTGAATCTTTAATGAAGGTTATGGGGGAAAAAACCTTCGAGCAATACCTCTGCTGTGTAATTTTTAGATTAGTTCATTTTTGCTAAAACTAACAACTTTATTCAATGATTTTTTAAACATTAGTTTTATCTATAGGTGTGTTATTGTTTTTTTATCTTTCATGAGATACGAATTACTTTTGCTAGTTGCATCAGTTTATCTTCCTTTCTCAGAATACGCCACTTCTCTTGAGTAATCTCAAACACCAAACAGAGTTTCTGCTGAGTTTGTAAATACTCATAAAGTTCATCCAAATCTTTTGTGATCTCGTCAAGAGTCGAGAAATAATCGGAGCGGAATATGATGACCTTCTTAAGTGGTAAGTCAACTTTCCAGTTTCTTTGGATGCCAATGTATGAAAGCTCTGAGTCACTATGCTTTTGACTTATGGTCTGGAGTTTTGCGGCAGTCTTTATATTACTGTTGCTAACAATTACCCATACACGTGAGATATTAAAATCTATAGCAGTGTAGTTTTCTTTCTCTTCTTTGTCATCTACAAATATTATTTAAAACACAATTTAAATAAATATATCTTGAAAGCATTAAATGAATCTTTATGTCCAACGATTAATGGGTAAAACAACTTTTCAGTGTACAGAAAAGAAGAATTAAACATATGAAATTTCATAAATAACATGTCGTTTTCTGATATGTACATACTCATGATGAGTTGCATGCTCTCTGTTTCTGCTTCATAGGGTTTCATGGCTTTTTCTCGCGTCTTTATCATTGCTGAAAAATGTAATTACAAGAGAGATTCTTAGGCTCAAAAACATGTTTCAACCGCATGCATCTTTATATAATCTCTCAACACAACATGAGGTTTTTTGTTGACATATTTTGAATTAAAACATTTTAGTTAGCTCACTGCTCAAAGTACCTTTAGTTGTTAATCATTTTCTACATTGAAATAGTAGTATATATCTGATATTGTATTTGAGTTGAGTAAAATAAAACGTTCCTGACCTCGGGGATTGTTATTATTTACTAATTACATTATAAAATCATATTAAAATGTTTAATTCAATAACTCATAAAATCATATAACGAAGAACTGTTTAAAATTTACCCATGTTTTTTAATAAACTCTTACTGACATAAAAAAGCAATGCCTTTTCTGAAGCATATTTCCTAAAGATTCCAGTAAAATGTTGGTTAAATTTGGCGAGTTTATTTGAATCGTCTTAACAACATGGCTATGGTTTAATTTTGCTGGTAGCAAAGCAGAGTGTACGGCAAAAGGTTTGAAAACAAAATTCAATATCCAACCCTTAACTTACTTTTTCTATAATTTGCTCCATTATTGGGCAATTCTTGAAACAAGGAGTAAAAGAAATCAGATTTATAAAGAGTAAACTTACCTAGATCTCTTTCCCTGGAATATATTTTCTTATTTTCTTCGATATTTACCATAGTCTTCATATCTCAAAAAGAAGCAAAAATCATCTCTGTACAGTAGTTTATATTTGAATTTATGATTTATTGGCAATTTCTGTAGTCAATTTATTTCATAATACATTTGCTTATTTATACGATGATAATAATACAAAATTACCTTTTCAAAAATCCCTCCTTATTTCAAATACACGTTTTACAGTAGACCATTATTTTTAGAGTGAACATGAGCCAAATACTTGTGGTGTTTTTATTAACATTGCTAATATTTTACAGGTGTATAGCTGAAAACTAAAATTGAATTTTGAAGAGAAATATATAAGCAGGTACTTTATTATTAGACAAATAAGGGTATATTGACTTGAAAGAAGATCTTTTATACTTTTATTTCCGATAAGCGGGTACAATCACATACAGGACTCTATTGGAAATAAATATGTACAACAATATTTTTTAATAAAGGAAAACTAATACCATTGTCATTGAAGAAAACATTTCGATTCATAAAGTGTATTATTTGCTTAGATTTACAGATACCTGCATCGTTGAGGGGAGTACATGTACCTTCCTCTGTGTTTTGATTGTTACATGCACCTGTAATATCAATCGTCTTATTAGATAGAGACGAATATTTACATATTTAAATTGAATATGCTTGATATTTAAGGTAATATTTTTATACCACCGCTTGAAAAGCGGGAGGGTATATTGTAATTGGTCTGTTCGCCCGTTTGTTTGTCTATTACGCTTTGAGTACCCATCTCTTATCCACAACTCCTCCAATACCACTGAATAAATTTGATGAAACTTTCACAGAATCTTTATAACATATTGCAATTGTACACCTTCTTTGTCACTTTTCGAATCGACATCTATTTTGGGTTTTCCATAGCAAAACATGGTCACTGCCATTTATATATTCATATCCTTATATTCATATATATAAGGCGGGGATATCATTTAGTGAGCTCATTGCTCACAGAACCTCTAGTTTATAGAAGAATTGTGACTCGAATTGTAAATTGGAAATATTCGTTCCTTGTCATTGTATTTAATTATTTCTAAACATTTCTAAATTCACTTCTAATTATTTTTAGAAAAACAAAGTTAAGAATGTTTTTGATGCTCTTATTGAAACGGGTATAATAAATGAATTATTTCTTGAAAAATTGTTTTAATTGTTACTTAATGTACCGGTTAATCATATATGACAGAAAAAACTTAATTTATTTCTATTTCATTTGCAAAACATATGACATATAAACGATGGGTTTTAATTCTGTTTTCAAAAGAAGTATTTGCTTTTAAATCAATTACTTTTGTGTTTTTTCCTCCTCAAAACCACACATATCACAGCTGAGATAATGAATATCAGAAGTACTAGGCATGCGACAATAATAACGATGAGAGTGGTTGGACTTTGAAGGTCAGCTTCTGTTGTAGTCATGGATTGAAAACTGAAAGAATTCAGAGTTTCTTCATAGAAAAAAAAAACTTTAAAAATATCCGGTATTGTATTAGGCATCATGACAAGTTAATTAATGGAGAAATTCTTAACCTGTTCAAATCAATTAATCAACATTAAGGCAAGAGTAGAAGTGGTTTTAATAATTTATTTTTTTCCATCAAATTTCTATTTAACGCCATTAAGTGAAAATTATGTAAAAAGTTTCTCAATCATCCATTGAAGAAAAACACATTTTTACAATTTTGGAAGCATTTTTAATCTCCCTCTTTCAGGAATTTAAGAGTAAGAATATAACAGTAAGATATACCTGTGTGTGCTTGTTAATTTATACCTATCCAGGCACATGGAAACTGAAATAGATGAAAAATTGTGTCATATACAGATAATCAGTAGGTACTACCGTACAGTTGTATCATGTTGCAATTAAAGATTCTTTAAATATATAGGCAATACAAATTTCATAATATGAATGTTTTAACAATAAAATTAAAATATTCTTGACTATTACAGTGATATTAGATTGCTTTATATAATTACATTTGTAGACTTCATTAGACCAGAATGTGCTGTTAGGACAACCTTCAGATAAACATGCTGTAGCATCGATCCTACCAGCCTCTGAGTTGTACTCTGGGCACATTTCTGTAGAAGAAAATTAACATTATTGGATCCATAAGTGATAGATTTAAGGAAGTTCGCTATTCTTTCATTTGGCCTTTAAAAGTATATTTCTGACGCTTGAAACAGGCGTGATGGGGTCAATATATTTATCAATTAACTTGCAAAAATACACTTTTATAAATTAAATGCACATATTGCATTTCCCACTCTGATGTTTTAAGATTATATTCTGAGGTCTCCCTTTCACTGATCAGTTATTGGGTCAATTGCTATTTTTGCATTCTATTAAGCTGAAGTTACACGCAAATGTTGACATAACGTACTATTGTAAAATATAGCAGAAATACATAAATCATGTAAATATCTTATATCGTATCATTACATTTTGTTTTCATACCCCCGCCTAAAAAGCGGGAGGGTATAATAGTAATCGGTATGTCCGTCCGTCTGTCCGTCCATCTATTACGCTTTGGGGTACCAATCTCTTATTCGCAACTCCTCTCATACCGCTGAATGAAATGTGATGAGACTTTCACTGAAACTTGATTACATAGTGTCATTGTGACCTCTTATTTTACTTTTTGATCCGCCCACATATGTAGGGTTTCCCATAACAATGCATGGACAATGCCATTATATTCATATGGAAGGCGGGTGTATCATTTAGTGAGCTTTTTGCTGACAATATCTCTAGTTTCATTGTACTATATTCAGAAAAAAATATCAAGACCTCTAAAAGTATTAGTTAAATTCCTTGTGTGACAACCATGCGAATGTTATAGTTTAATCTATCATTCACACGGTAAACAAATGAGCTATTTAAATATTACCTTTTTATTTTTGGCAAAAATGGAACAATTTAAACTTCTTTTCTTCATTTTACTGTGTGTTTGCTCAGATAAGAATGAGCAAGAGGTATAAATAATCTGCGCTATATACAATGTCGAAATAACTATCATGGAAATTCCTAGCGATGTAGTAAACTAACCTTTTTGAATCCAGACTCTGCTAAGGCACTGCTCTGTTGCGCCGTCATTTTCATTTGTCAGACAGTGATAGTAGTTAGGTTCTACACATTGTAATCTGTGTGATGCCAGATTCCAACTTGGGATGTCCACTGGGCAAGAAAACATACCCATCTGTGGTTATAATGATTCTAGGGTCATAAAAACCTTTACTTTCGGTTTACATTCAGGTGTCTTCTATCCAGGTTCTAGGATTGGATTCGACATGCTCAAAATTTTTTTAAAGAACGATAATTAACAAAGGTTCGATAATTCAAAGCGGTAAACGTTAATTAGTTAATATGATAATTGAGGAACAAACAAGTCCAAAGAATAAAATATCTTTTAAAGATTTTTATCGTGTACACAAAATAAACTTTGTCAATCACCTTCTTGAAATAGAAAAGAGTTCAAGATTGAATTAACTGTGAATAATGAAACATACATACAAAATCGCAGCTTTTTATTTAAGATAATGACATAAAACACGAGATGGTTCTTTTGGTAAAACATCCAATAATTAAAGTGATCCATGAAGACGGTAAAAAAAAATATACACTCCTGTTTTCTGTATTATTTCGATCAAAGCTATTGAAAAAGATGTACCTGAAAACTTCTTTGAATAAAGGAGATGGAGACAAAGAAAAGTTTTGAATATGGAAGTTCATAAAACAATACAAAACAGTTTGAATATTTCTGTACTGAGCATAATTTTGTACTCTGTATAGGTGGCGTTAACAAAACGTTCACCGTTCAAGAAACGTTTCCTTGTTTCTCTGACAGTAGTGATGTCTTTGAATGTGCATTTTAAAAGATGTCTGTCTTCAACAATTCAGTTGGAGTAAGACAATGGAAACTATTAATTGTTACATATATTGACACTCGAATCCTGTACTTTTTTTATTCAAAGAGGTTTTCAGAAACATTTTTTCAATATCTTTGATATCGAAATTATACAGAACGCGCGAGTATAAACATTTTTTTTCGTCTTCATGGAGCAACTTTATTAATGGATGTTTAACAAAAAGTAAATAATTTCGTATAGCGTCAACAATTTGTAAGATTCATTGACCTTGATTAGCAAATCTATCATTAAATCGAATGATGACTGGCGATTTTCACAAATTTTTTTTAGTTTTTCTACGCAATAAAAAGTGTTTCGACGTCTAAATTTACACTGCTACCGAATTTTAGTTGACTTTTGAGACTGAATTATTTTTCCCTCCATATCTCACTAATAAAATAAAGAGTGCGGCGATTTCTTGTGATTTCGTGTGTTTTTCTACATATAATGAACTCCTTCGCCTTCTACGACATGCATGTCTTTCAATTTTTTTGTGTGTGTAGTTTTGCAGCAACAATTAGATGTTTATAAAAAGGTGTTATTTATAAATTGTACATTTAGAATCTATAAAGAATATCACCGAAAAAAAGTTTAATCAGTGATAACAAATTAATAAACACTAAATGGTTACTTTAAGTAATTTATAAATAAAATATCTTAAATAAAGAAAGACGGAAATAAAAGTTTATTTTTGATAAGGCTTTTTCCCACAATTTCAGTCATCAGTTCTGATGAGAAAAAGAATATTACATTCTACACACATACACTGGATTTGAATTTGTAGTGAAATATAAAAGGATTGCAGATAAAAATACATTTTAATCAATCAAGAAACTGCAAGTAATTTTCAAAGGAGACAAAACAGTTACTGTTTCCCTAAAACAGATGACAATTTGTAGAACTTGTATTTAATACTGCTATAAAATTCCCTCTCTTTGTTGTGACAATAATTTAGACTATGATAATATATCTCTCATGAAATAACGGTGTTTTCTGTAGATGTGTTTTGTGCTCAGTCCACACAGCTAACGGCATCTCCAAAACAAATTTCGACGAAGGTTGCTGTGATGCTGCTGTGAATATTTTATCAAAGTCTTCACGGAGGGCGTCTATCTGAGTCGCTGATTTAACGTCCGCAAAGACGTGCTGGAAGAAGTAGACTTTGGTGTATATGTCTGCCTTAAATTCGTTCATACCCTTCACAAATTGACACTTATCATATCTATTCTCATAAATAAGAGGTTCATATGACTCCGCTATTTTGTCCTCATCGTCCCCAATGTAAATAAATACATTCTTCACTTGATCCGCAGATTTGCGATTTATTTCTGGAATAAAAAAGACCGTGTTTGAATCATAAATTATAAATAAATATGGCGTTTCAAAAATACCACGTTTTGTACTATGTTTACATACCCAAGAAAGGCTGTTTTTCAACATCAGCTGAACTATTCCGAACAATTGTACCGTTTCCGTTCACGATCTCTATAAAAAACACTACAGTAGTGACTACAATTTCTTGTTCGAATGTCAATTTAAAAAATCATGTTATATGCATGTTAACTGCACGTACCTGCGTTAATAAAATCATCGAGGATACTTTCCTGCCTCAAAGTTTTCCTATATTCAATATGGACTTCATGCCTACATCCTGAAATCAAAGGAAAATTAAAATGAAATTTTTAATGAATAGTTATACAAAACAATTTATATTAAATCAGATAAAAACATATACATGTACATTGTTCCGTTAGGCTTTAAGAAATGATCCCCCCATTATCCTTTAAAACTTATTCATGTGACTGTCAAATGTGGTATTAACCTTTGTGTCTTGATCGCTTTCTCCGACATAGTACACATATAAACACCGCCACAAGGATCAGAAATACCAGGACACTTCCTCCGATGATGTACGGTAGGAGGGTTTGTATATCTAAGTCAGAGCTTCTTGTAGTCATATTACTGGAGGAGGTTGAATTGGATGACCTATGATAGTAGAAGTATGCATATATTTCTGGAAACATATGAAGGAAATTGGTATTAATTGTATGCAAAAAACTAAAATACGTGTATAACTTACTCTTCAGTGACGTTGGTGTGTGTATATGTAATGTAGGTGGAATTCTGTATTGACTGAGATTTTTGAAAGCACGTTGGATCTGAAACAAACAATATGTTATCTTAGTTGTTTGCATTGTTTGCCTTAGACTTGGAGACATGACACCATGTAAGTAGAATAAAATCTTACAGATATAGACGGCGTTTGACCAGTATGTGTTTCTAGGGCATTCCGTAGAGTCGCCCAAACATTTGTCTACGTCCATTATATTAAGTTGTTCGTTGTATTCTGGGCACATATCTGAAAATAAATAATAGTACTTTTCAACAATGGACATCAGTAACTTGTTCCTTAGATTTATATTTGGTTTTGAGTATATCTTGTAAAATTAATATTTCAGATATTTATAATCGTATATGGTATTCTTAATATACTTTATTGACAATATTTAAGTTTCACATGCTAATTTCGTAATCTATATATTGCTAACGAACCTGGTGGGATCCATGTTTTCTCCAGACATTTTTCTATGTATCGACCCGATGTTGTCTTTAAGCAGTGGTAGGTTCCCGGGAGGAGTACAAGTAAAGACAGAGGAGGCTGAATTCCAGTCAATCTGGGTCTGTGGACAAGCCATAATGTGGCCCTATTGTGAATAGAGGGCCTTTTGTAAAACACATTATAAAAGAAAAAGTTGATAGCAAGGTATTTCTATAATAGTGCTACAATAATAGCAATTCATTGTAAACATGAATACACATGTACAGTCACAGAAGTGTAAACTGTCAAAGATCGTGCAGGTACACATGCACGACGTTAGATAAGACAGTTAGTGACTAATGGTTAAGAACTGTGTACAAAACAATGGTGATACAGGTAGTTAAACTAAAAATGTATAAAATAATGTTTTATAGAAAGTAGACTGATATACATACCGTGACAGCCGCCATCTTTTTTTCTTAATCAATAATTCAGAAGACTTTACAAAGAGATTTAAGTTTAAATGCCCTTCGTCATTAAAACATCTTTCCCCCTGAATAGCTTTGGCGACCTCATTTACCTTCAGATATCCAAATATAGATTAGGGATTTTTATGGCTGTGGACCTCTTAAATTCCTTCACGTCAGATTTGCGGTCATTTAAATCTAGAGGATATTGACAAAAATTACTATTTCAAGTAGTTCAAGCAATGTTTAAATTCATTAATTTTATTTATTTACTGAGCAATTTTTTTTAAATTTTATTTCTAATTTGTATTTCAAAAGTTGCATGCAGGTTATTGAACTTAAAACTGTATTTAGATTTTTAATTATGTTTTCTTGTGTAATAACGACTATTCACACATTAAGGTAACATTTATCAGTTTAAATTAGATTGCAAGTATTATTTTGCTCTTAAAAAATAAGCACTAAAATGGAACAAATAAGTTCTTATTAAATAAAGTGCTCTTTACATAAAATTTTACAGCATATAGTTAACACTTAATTGCATGCATTGTTAGAGAGTACCCAGGGATATTTGCATTTGTTTTCGTCTTTAAAAATCTAGATTGATAATATCATTAATTTTCAGTTTGTATCGATATAAAGCGAGGGTAAGTGCTCTAGATTTAACTCAAGTTTAGAAATCAGTAAAATAATTATACACAGAGACACAGATTTTGAAAACACTGACCATTTCATAAAACAAAAAAATGAGTGGAACTTGTAAAGAGGGAATTAAGTCAGGTCGATTAAATATTTTTTATTTCGTTGTAATCACTACTTCTAAAATTTCTCAAAATTATATTCTCTTTGTGTTTAGGTAAACTTATTATTTTATTTTTTATGTAAGTAATGATTGTCACAGAATGTCATGCTTTTAAACAAAAAAAATCATTTTTCATTTAAGTAAAGTCATCACTGTCACGATTTTGAAAATGATATTTTACAATTATCTCAGTCAGTTATCTGCAAATTGACAAAGACGAAACTATTTTTAAACATGTATATGAATTAATGACTTGACCAACACTGTACATATGATATAATATTTTCAAAGTAGCTCACAAAGGCTAACCAAGACTTATTATTATATATAATTACATGTACATATTTTACATACTGTAAAAATCCATAATGTATATTACTTTTATGACATGTCTCAAATAGTTTTAGAAAGCTATAACTAAAAACTCACAAACTTCTGTCAAATCCATATGTCGGTTTGTAAATTTGAAATAAAAGATGTCACCGAGTTTGACAAATCTGTCTCATATTTGGATATTTTACTAGAAACATATATTAGTGATAACCTACCGTGAATTGGATTCATAAACGTTATAAAAATAGATACATGTACATTGCTGAGTCCTGCAAATGGTCTGCCAAACCCTTTTATTCCCTCCTTACAAAATACTAACTGTTGAAAAAAAGATATATTAGACGTTTTGCTACATTATATTCTAGAAGTGGTGTAAATCTGAACCGCTGGAAAATTTTAAATCGTTCAATTTTAATGACGTCAAAACTTACAATTTTTCTACACTTGATACAATAATTCCCCACGATCAAATATAGACTTTTTGATATCATAGATTACCGCGTCTTCAATAAAAATGAATATCGGAAATTTTCAATTCTTGTGATTACACAATAATACTAAGAATTTTTTTTAATATCGACGAAATCCCTTCAGAAATGGACGTACAATTGTTAATGTAACAAACGTCTACCAAAGGGATATAATCAAGGAAATTTGTGCATAATTAATGAAATAAAGAATTCTCACCAAAAATTGATGCATTAGAAATTTCACCAAGTGCCGTACGGTATATATGTTGGGCCATATCATTCACTCTTTGTAAAAATTATAATTAAATTAGTAAATCTTTTGTATCTTCTATCTGTCCAAAAAACGAAACATTAGAAATCTCATTTCTTTAAGTGCCTTACGATATTAAGATTCCCCAATATTCTTACTAGATTTTCTATCCCTTTCTATTTACATTTCCAATGTCTTTGTCCGAGATAAAATTTTAAATAGTTAATGTACTTTATTTCCCCATCAATGTAATGGTTAGGCGCTGTTTAAAAATTTGCGGGGCAAAACAAAAAGCAAGACAGAAGCAGGGCTTAGGTCATGTGGATTGAAGGAATTGAGAGAATGTAAATATAAGGAATAACTGTCATGTTTTTTGACTTCATGACAATGGTCAATCGATTGGCTTGCGTGATAATTCTATGCATAAATACCTTTGGCATTTATGCAAATTATCATGCAAGCCACTTGATTGGTCACATCATGAAATAAAAAAAATTAGACAGTTATCCCTTAATTAAAATCCATGTTGGCTACATTTCATTGATGTTTTAAAAGGTTACTAGAATATCATTTCTTTTAGGATATCTAGTTATAAAATTCTGTACAAATAAGCTAGAATATTCATGATTATATCACATTTTTTCTAAATATCCATAATACGAACAGTTCACGAATATGCAATGTTTTTATTTAATCATTAGTTTTCTTTTTATGAACAAAAATTCATAGTTCTTTGTTTTAAGAGTGCACTAGTGTATCATTTCCTTTAAAAAAAATTTTGAGTTCTAAAAATCGTGAATGTGCAAACACGATTGTTCTGAAAGGGGACAAAACCTTCGAATTCGCTTTTGCAGAAACGATTGCCTTTTTAACTGTTTAAATCTCCCATCAAAATATCGAATATTGAAAAAATCCTACAAAATAATTTTCTCGTTCATATTTCTTATTAATTCAAATGCCACAAATTATACATAAATAGCTGTCAAAATCCAGCAATGATCTGTTCATTATCTGTTTAATAAACGTTTGGAAATATTTTTTGACTTTGCTTGACCAGGATTAACAAAGATGACGTTAGCACGAATGTCGCGTAACAATGGCGAACATATTATGCATTCAAATTCCTAATTGCTAACACATCAAAAATATGAATATTTTCTAGCAAATAATTTTGAATAGCATGTAAACTTTGTCATTAAAATGAGACATGATTCAATTTTTTTGAAGAATGCATTAAACTTCCAGTTTTACTGCTTTCTTGAAAAAGTAATACTTTGATAATTTTTTCTCAAATCGCTTCCATTTGTCTGTTTGGAAAGAAAGGACGAAGTAACTACTGGGAGTTTGTGTTGCATGTTTGTGCATTTCCTGAAATTTCTGTGTTAACTCTTTCAGGTCATACGAAGAATTAATATCATCCAAAGCATGTCGAAATAAATATAAACTGACGTCTTCTTCAAAATCCCAATTACTGAAAGATCCAACGTATTGCGACTTTCCAAATCTCCCCGTTTCATCCAAAGATTTAATCCTCGAGTCATTTTTAGATGTATCATCAGATATCAATATTAAAACTCCATATTCTTCTAGTAGGTCGGCATCTGTACCGGCATTCTTTCCAAGAACTAGTTTTAAAGTAAAAGGAAAATATTCTTTTTATACAGAAAAATTAAAACCGATTCTTTATCATAACAAAATGTTAGGAATACTATACTGAAAGCTTAAATAATTATAAAATACAAAGCCCAGTGTTATACATTTACAGTACTTGTGGAACCAGTTTGTTTATTTGAAATTTCCAATTGCCAAGAAATATTTCATTAAGTTTTTTTCCATAAAGGAAGTAGAGGTGCTTACATCTTTTAGAATATAATTTCAATATTACTGAATGATTATGTTTACAGAATTAAATTTACCATGCATCTGTTCACCTTCGATAATTAACTTGTTCATAGTTTCCATTTCTTGGTTATTACCGTATGTATCTGTGGCAGAAAAGGTGGATAATCTTATATCAATATCAAAATCATGATTTTTAATTCTTTAGGATAAATGAATAAAAATAGAGTGGTGCAACTGATTATATAAAATTTCATTTAAACTTGAATCGGGATTTTATAAGCATTTTACCCATAAAGCCATCTATATCATCATTCCTCGTAGTAAGTAGATTGTTTTCTGTATCTCTGTCTTCAGTATTTGAGTGAATTCGTCTAATTTCTAAAGAACAAACGGAGAATGGACCAAGAAATCTATTTTGGATCATTATGTTAATTCTGATGCACTTAACTTTCTGTTACCTTTTACGGTTAACAAAACGGAAAATCTCAGTCAAACTTTATCCTTAATACTAGTGTTGGCAAATCGGACGATTTTTAGTAACCGGTTACTCGCTTCATCTTCCGATCGAGTACCCGGTTACTCGGATGATTTTTCGTACAAGTATCCACATCTTTTATTTATTTCATTCTTTATTTATCAGTAATGGTAATACACAAATATTGACATTATATTTACAATACACACAAGCGATATTGTCAACGGATTTTGATTTTAAGAAAAATAAGAAATTGACACACGAAGAAGACAAATAAAGACATCGTCAATCACCGTCTCACAATTGCTATCAAGGAGAATAATAATTATCTACAAACTCCGTAATTAATAGTTTATTTGCTGATATTTTGAATCCACTGTTCTTTCACAGTTACTCTCCAAGCTTAATTTGTCTGAGGTGGCATCTCGTTAAATTATCAAATGAGGTAATCATTTGAACTCAGGCCTTCAAAAGTCTGTCTTAAAATGTACAAAATACTGGTAAAATACAGGTAAATCTAAGATGGGATGTATACGTAATTAGTGTAATTACTGTAAAAACCAATTAACTAATCAAAACATCTATTCTTATTTGCAAGTGGGAATAGGTGGAATGGAGATTTTTAAAAAGTGGGAATAGCTAAAAGACACCCAACCATGTATTAGATCAAGTCTAACGGTGCGTATAAAATTGGGGAAATTTTTAAGTAAATACATTTATAAATTATAAAACAATCATTTTATATGCATTTTCTATGTAGATTTTTTTCTTGCGAGTAACCGAATACTAGTTTTACTAACCGATACTCGCATCTTTCGACGGTTAACCGGTTAACCGGGTACTCGTTGCCAACACTACTTAATACGTATTATTTTTTAAATGATATGCTAAAGGTTTACAATTAAGAAAAAATGGATTTCTTCAAAAACATCTTACATGTATCAAGCTTTGATTTGAAAATTATTGACAAATAAAGAAATCTGTAGTTTCATTACACCTTTTTTCTTATTTATGTAGACCCTAGCTGCAGATATGCCGCATTCTGATCTGAAAAAATTGAAATGGAAGACCAGATATCTACAGTGGCAACCACTGCATAAAAAGGTACAGGTGTCATGGAGGAGTAAGCATCCCCTGTTGACAGGTCACACTCGAGTCTCTATATCACCTAACAATTCAAATTTCTGAAATAATTTAGGGTTTTACAATATTTTTTTTTAAAAATGGTCAATTTTCTAAATTTCAAAAACTTAAACTGATTTCATATGCAGAAAATTATTAATAGAGGATATGGAGATAACAAAAAGTATTCAATATGAAATCCATAAAACAATACAAAATAGGAGCAGAGCAAAAATAGACCTCAATAATATCAGGTGGAGTGAACTACCGACCAGTCACACCCGTCGTGTGCTTCTTGTCATGATGGGAAATAACGACAAAATCTGATGACAATAATTTACTTTAATAATTCTAAATTTTCAAACTTTCTTAACACGATAAAAATAATAAAACATTTTACAAAGTAGAATTGCTAAGTCTTACACGGGCCCGCTTCATGCCATGAATGAGCTTATGGAACCAATTGCAAATAATTTATTCACTCTGCAGTAAATATCGTCTAAAACCTGTATAAAAAAATGTCATTTTGCATCCGATATGATGATAGATTTCATTTGTTGATAAAATCATTTTAATGATCAATGTTTTGGCAAAATGATAACTTTTAATGACTTTAAAATCACTCTTCCATGGCACCTGATCCCATTTCCGATGTTTTGGAGGTCGGTGTTTGATCCGGTTTTTTTGTACAGTTTATTGGACCTTTGAATTTGAATACTGATATATTTCCATGTATTTCATTCTTAAAGGTACAGCTATATACATAACATATCACTGATTTATTTTACCGCATGAAGAGGGAAAAGAAACGTTTTTTAACAATGGTGAATATAAAGTATCTATTTTATGAAATCTATCACCTGTTCCTATTTTATTTTACCTCTGTTCTGTGGTCGTCGTATTCTTCTCCTCCTCCAGATAAACACATTAACTAGTAGAACGATAACGATAATAATCAGTATAGCTGAACATGCTGCTATTGCAATGATGCTTTCCATGTTGTCCCTTTCCTTCTCTCCGCTATTCTTTAGGTCTGTGTTTACACTGCTGCTCATACCATACAAGAATAAAACGAAAATAAGAATCATGACTGAGATTTTGAAAAAAAAAAGAAATTCAATCATTTCAGGGGAATCATTTATTTGACGTTGTTTGAACTAACATTGTAACTTTTTATACTCACATTGAATCTTTTTTATACTCACATTGTTGTTAGATAAGGTAGAAATGTAGCGTTAGAAATACATCTCGGATCTGTAATGCGTTAAGATTATTCCCAGGTGAGAGTTGTATATAAAAATTACATTATCTAGTTTCTTTGTCTTTTATTTGAGGAAATTATTTGATAAAAAATCATGATTTCAAGCAGTATGTCATTAACTTAAAACGAAGTTCACATATTTCAAGAAGTAAATCACACATCAGTTTAAATTTCAAAAGTGTGCTTTTGGTCTGTAACCTTTGAAAACATTTTTTTCCTATAGATTTTAATTTATGCATTAGGTGACAACAATTTTCATCCATTCCAGATGTGTACCGAACATTTCCACATCAGATTATCGGAAACATGCAAGAATACATACATAAATATACTGCACTGGACCAGAAGGTTGCTGTTGGGCAGTCGTTAAAGTCTGAGATACAATCATACACATCTATTTGACGGACTTTAGAATTGTATTCCGGACACATTCCTGTAAGAATTAACAAAAAAAAAATGTAGAGAAATTTTCTAAAAGATAGTTTTTTAATCAGATTTTTCTTTCTTTTTTTCTGTTGATTAAGATTTGAACACTAACATAAAATCATTTTTTATACATAAATGCCTGTCAACATTTCCAAATGGAATCCTTTTTATTCTTTAAGGTAAGTCACTCGTCAGCTTTTTAGAAAAGTTCACGCAGAACCTCTTACTTAAAAAAGAATTATTAAAATTCACTTTTATAAAATATTTATATTCAACAATGTAAATTTTTAACATTCATAAAAAAACTGCTTAAAAATCTACAAAGAAGCAAGATTTATGAGGGACTATTTCTTGTGGTGGAAGGATATTTAGCAAAAATTTCTGCAAATCTGCACTTTTATTACATTTAATGTCTTGAAACTTTAGCCTCACATACTTTTACTCGGAGAATATTTTCCAAAACAGATTTTGCAGGAATATTTAATATAGGTCTTAATTATATTTTTAGAACAAGTTTTACACCTTCCCTCAACAAACTTTGCCAAAAAATGAAGATATATTAAAGAAGTCAAGATAAAATTTACACCGTTTTTTGCCTGAAAATCGCATTTTTTGACCAATATTTTAAAAATAACATCACTGACCCCAACTTTTTCTTTCATTATTTAAAACTACTCAATATTTGTGACTGATTAGCACTTAACTCCTAAAAAGGTTGATATAAGAAAATATTTTATTGCCTATTTAGTTTTTAAATACCCCAAATATGTTATTTTTTAGTGCAAAAAGGTCACACAATAATAAAAGCACATTAATTTGCAAGATTTGTTCAATGGTAAATATTATTCAAATTATTTCATGTAAAATAAGATTAAATTTATTAACGTAGTAATATCCGATAAAATAAGATTAGAGATAAAGTAATAAATCAAAGAGTTAAAATTTAAGTGCAAAAAGGTCAACTTAATTGTATCATAGATCAGTAAGATGCACACTGACCCCCTATTTTCTCTGCAATTTTGAGTTATCCTATATGAGTACTTATCAAAAATATACTTCCCAAAAAATGACTTACCTTTAAACAAAGAACAGCATTTGTTTTCAAATATATTTACTGTACAAGATATGTACACAATTTACTGACTAACCTTCTTGAATCCAGACTTTTTGTAGGCAAAGCTGCTGAAATGTTCCATTATCGTCCTTTAGACAATGGTAGTAGTTTGGTTCCCTGCACTGTAAAGATACAGATGCCTTGTTCCAGTCATCAGTAGACTGTGGACAGTATAGTATAGCCTGGGACACGGTAAAATGCCATAAAGCCAACTGTATAATGATGCCCATATCGTCATTCCTAATTATAAAGAAAATAAAAACATAGTTTAATACTTTCCAAATGAAAACATTTATAATACACAACTGTACTTCGTCATTATTTTACACTTTTATTTGATAAATATTCATTTAAATTTCCGTCTGTTTTTCATGGTGGTTGTAATTTCAAAAATAATCCAAAACAGATTCTGTAAATGATAGATACAGTGTCTAAATAAAATTTTATCAACAATATATTACTGTTTATAATGCCACTTATTCAGTATTGTTTATTTCATTAACCCCTGATTACAATTTACTTATTTTTTTAATGATCTTTCCATATATATTTACCAGAAAAAAAACTCTACTTAAGCGCTGTTTTAACGTTTTACTTTAAAACTATGTAAAAGATAATAAAGAGGATATTAAATGTCTTGCTTTTAGGTATAGAAATTATTTCATGAGCTAGGAAAAAGATTTAATATTTCAGGAGTGCTCATACTGACTACATGTAACTTAGAAAATATTATTTTTCTGTTTATGCCATTTTCTTTGACTTTCCTTTCGCTTGTATTTAAGTCGTAGGATGTGACCCAATAATTATGTCGTTGTACGAAATAAGGCATAATTACTTTAGGCACGAATATTAACAAAAATATGATCAACGAGAACGTTGTATATTTTAGAGTAGTCTGCTTTATTGGCAGTAATATTATGAGTGGATGTTTTAGTGTGAAAACAATCATTTTCATAAATAAAAAATTATAATTATTCATCGAATAAATGTCGACTGTTGAACTGTAATAACAAGCATATTCAAAGAATTGTGGTCCCCCGCTTTTGGTGTCTTTGTGGGTGAGATGTCATTTTTTATGGCATATTGTGTCTAATATGAACACCCTATCATATGTCATGTATTTAGAAATAATCACTGAAGTTGATTTTTTTTAAATAAGA